TCATCACAGCACAGAAACAGCTTTAGTGAAGGTTACAAATGATCTTCTTATGGCCTCTGACAGTGGACTCATCTCTGTGCTTGTCCTGCTAGACCTCAGTGCAGCGTTCGATACTGTCGACCATAACATTTCATGTCATGCAGCCTAAGCAGAGAAGCTCAGTCCTTCCTCTCCCTAGCCACCTCCTTACAGTTTATAATTCCTAATTTCTTTGATCTGCTGCTCATAACAACAACCACAAGCAAAAGTTTTGGACTTTTTATTTTAATATTTTCAGTTTTACAGCCTTTTTTTACTAATAAAAACCTCCTTTATGAACATTTATATTACTCAAAGTAATTAAGCAATAAACAATTGAAAGACAGCACAGTTTTTTCTGCACTCTTTTGCATAGAAAGTTCTGTGGGGTTTTATGAATACAGTTATAAAAACTGGACAGTGTGAGTGACGAGCTAGCAGAACATTTCTGTAATTTTGCACATTTCTTTCTTCCAGTTTAAAGAGTAGTGCTGACAGATTTCTTTCTCTGTCACAGCAGCTTTTTCTTCACCATGTAGATAAACAATTTAATATGTGACATCTTTACACTGACAGGAAGTTTCCTACCTGCTTATGATGAAAGTGAAATGACTTTGACACCCCTGGTGTAGAGGATATTTTGCTTAAAATAGTCATAAGGCCCCAAGCCCTGACGGGTTTCCTATCAAATTTTTAAAAAATGCTTCATACTAGATATCTCTGGAAAGTGGTTCAGTACTACCCAAATTAATTTCATCTACTATTTCTTGTACTTCCTACATAGTAGGTTATGGAGGCGTAGCAGGGAGAGGTGTTTTGTTTTATCCTTTACAGGAGAACATTTCAGGACCACAGCAAAACCACGGAGGGGTTGGCGAGAATCCAGGAACCAACTAGAGAAAGGGGGACTCAAAAGAAGCACAGAAAATCGCGCGGTTTCAGAAAATGTGTTGTTTAGGAGATTAAAAGCTTGTTAGACAGAGGTTAAATGTGACCATAATCTAATGAAGAGTAATGAGAGGGACTTTAATAATAGTTGGCAGGGTTTCTATGCTATGTAAATTGCCCAACAATAGTGTTAAGGCTGGATATGTGCTACCCGTGAAAGGGGGCGAAGAAACGAGGAGTAAATTTTTGAAAGAGGAAAAGGATTAAACCATATAGAGATTAATGATTTTTTGTTCTAGCTATCATTCTCACATGCAAGTCAAATTGATGGGATAGATCAGGGGTTATGTCGTCTTTTAAAAAAGACGAAAAGGGGGTCTGTTGGGATTTAAATATATATATTTTTAATGCTTAATGCTTATTTGCTGATTATATTGTTTTATGTATTTTAATAAGAGAGGGCCAGCTCTGAGTAGAGTCTGAGCCAAAAGTACTGACAGGAAACTGCATGCTTTTGCAGAGTACAGGAGGTGCAGATGGAAAGTGAAACTAAGCAGAGTGTTTTGATTGAAACTTAGACTGTGTGACGTGCTGTGGAAATATATATACATATATATATATAAAACCATGCTGGCTGCTGCTTTCAGACCTGAGCTTGTGTCTTTGTGTGTTCAGGTCTCCTTCCGGAAATGTAAAATAAAAGATCATTTTTTGAGTTGACCACTCTGAGCCCAGTCTTTTTCAGCCGCCAAAAGAATGCAAAGAATGCAATTTAATACTTTGTCTCTTTTTAATGTTAACATTCTGTTAAGATTTTAGTTTAGTTTGACACTGTGAAAGTTTTCAATCGTGTTTAGTAGAGTTGTCTCTGTGCTTTGTTGAACAGATGTGGTTTTCGGCACAATGTTAGGATTAACTTCAAGTATTGTATAAAATTCCAGGCCATATTCGGCCTGGTGTGATAGATCCCAGCCTCTATGAATCTTGTGCTCAGAGCTTGTTCCTGTGCTGCTACGATTAGTGCCTCTGTGCTGTTTTCAGTCCAGCTTTGTTCAGCCACTGGTAGGGATTCTGGATATCAGCCACCTCCTCTATCTGCTGGTGGTACAGCAGCATTCAGCCTGTTAGAGGCAACACAAATGTCTCCATCCGAGCTCATGTTGTGCTTTGTTGTCCTCTCAGTCCCCCAGGTGGAGGTGGATTCAGGGGTGGAGTCTGTCCAGCTGCCCTTCAACACCACACTTTCCCTGCCTGAAGACGCTAA